GACCTGAATGCTAAAGTAGGAGAAACTTTTAGAGAGGGTGTGGTAGGTAAGTTTGGGGTGCCAGGTGTAAATGATAATGGGAGCCCTTTGATTGAACTTTGTATAGAAAGAGATTTAGTTATAGGTAATACATATTTTAAGAAAAAGAGGATAAATAAGTATACAAGATATGATGTAGGGCGAAATGACAGTAGTTTGTTGGATTATGTATTGGTAGATAAAAGACTGTTGAGTAGACTTCAGGATGTACATGTTCAGGGAGGGGCCACAGATATATCAGATCACTTTCTAGTTGTAGCTACACTGAGAGTAAAAGGTAGATGGGATACAAGGAGAATAGAAGCATCAGGGAAGAGAGAGGTAGAGGTTTATAAACTAAAAGAGGAGGCAGTTAAAGAAAGATATAAACAGCTATTGGAGGATAGATAGGCTAATGAGAGCATAGGCAATGGGGTCGAAGAGGTATGGGGAAGGTTTAAAAATGTAGTGTTAGAGTGTTCAGCAGAAGTTTGTGGTTACAGGAAAGTGGGTGCGGGAGGGAAGAGGAGCGATTGCGATTGGTGGAATGATGATGTAAAGAGAGTAGTAAGGGAGAAAAAGTTAGCATATGAGAAGTTTTTACAAAGTAGAAGTGATGCAAGGAGGGAAGAGTATATGGAGAAAAAGAGAGAGGTTAAGAGAGTGGTGAAGCAATGTAAAAAGAGAGCAAATGAGAGAGTGGGTGAGATGTTATCAACAAATTTTGTTGAAAATAAGAAAAAGTTTTGGAGTGAGATTAACAAGTTAAGGAAGCCTAGAGAACAAATGGATTTGTCAGTTAAAAATGGGAGAGGAGAGTTATTAAATGGAGAGTTAGAGGTATTGGGAAGATGGAGGGAATATTTTAAGGAATTGTTAAATGTTGATGAAGATAGGGAAGTTGTGATTTCGTGTATAGGGCAAGGAGGAATAACATCTTGTAGGAGTGAGGAAGAGCCAGTTGTGAGTGTGGGGGAAGTTCGTGAGGCAGTAGGTAAAATGAAAGGGGGTAAGGCAGCCGGGATTGATGGGATAAAGATAGAAATGTTAAAAGCAGGTGGGGATATAGTTTTGGAGTGGTTGGTGCAATTATTTAATAAATGTATGGAAGAGGGTAAGGTACCTAGGGATTGGCAGAGAGCATGCATAGTTCCTTTGTATAAAGGCAAAGGGGACAAAAGAGAGTGCAAAAATTATAGGGGGATAAGTCTGTTGAGTATACCTGGTAAAGTGTATGGTAGAGTTATTATTGAAAGAATTAAAAGTAAGACTGAGAATAGGATAGCAGATGAACAAGGAGGCTTTAGGAAAGGTAGGGGGTGTGTGGACCAGGTGTTTACAGTGAAACATATAAGTGAACAGTATTTAGATAAGGCTAAAGAGGTCTTTGTGGCATATATATATATTATATATATATATATATATATATATATATATATATATATATATATATATATAATATATTTATTATCACACTGGCCGATTCCCACCAAGGCAGGGTGGCCCGAAAAAGAAAAACTTTCACCATCATTCACTCCATCACTGTCTTGCCAGAAGGGTGCTTTACACTACAGTTTTTAAACTGCAACATTAACACCCCTCCTTCAGAGTGCAGGCACTGTACTTCCCATCTCCAGGGCTCAAGTCCGGCCTGCCGGTTTCCCTGAACCCCTTCATAAATGTTACTTTGCTCACACTCCAACAGCACGTCAAGTATTAAAAACCATTTGTCTCCATTCACTCCTATCAAACACGCTCACGCATGCCTGCTGGAAGTCCAAGCCCCTCGCACACAAAACCTCCTTTACCCCTCCCTCCAACCTTTCCTAGGCCGACCCCTACCCCGCCTTCCTTCCACTACAGACTGATACACTCCTGAAGTCACTCTGTTTCGCTCCATTCTCTCTACATGTCCGAACCACCTCAACATCCCTTCCTCAGCCCTCTGGACAACAGTTTTGGTAATCCCGCACCTCCTCCTAATTTCCAAACTACGAATTCTCTGCACTATATTCACACAACACACTGCCCTCAGACATGACATCTCCACTGCCTCCAGCCTTCTCCTCGCTGCAACATTCATCACCCATGCTTCATACCCACATAAGAGCGTTGGAAAAACTATACTCTCATACATTCCCCTCTTTGCCTCCAAGGACAAAGTTATTTGTCTCCACAGGCTCCTATATATACATATATATATATATATATATATATATATATATATATATATATATATTATATATATATTATATATATATATATATATATACATATATATATATATATATAGGTACCCCCTCTAGAACTGGACTGGGGACCCTCATCCTCAGGGAAGACAATAAACGTACCTCAGAGAAAACTTAAAGTTCTCCCCGGAACTGTTTGAATATTTTCTTCTCGTACCACCCTCTATATTTTATATTACATGTAAACTTTATTAATAGACAGAATACATTGACAGAAAACACAAACATGAATACATTGATATGATATATCAAAGATTATGAATCTCCTCCAGTTCCTCCAAAGCCGGATGCGAGCCCAGTATGCAGCATGCATTTTCCCTCTGGATGGCCATGCTTAGGCGCTGGAACATGAAAGTGGCTGCTCTTGGGTCCCTAGCGGTATCGATGAGTCTGGAACCCAGTTCTTTAAGGAAACGTGTGGCATTTTTTCCCCCATGATCCAAAGGTCTCTGATCCCACTTGGACAAATTGATATTGTTGGCTTATGTCCCTGTACTTGCCGATGTTCTACTCCTCCCAGTGATCAACAGCTCCTCCCTGTCGCCCCACACCATGATGGATGTAGGTGTCAGCCAGCGTCGACACACAGGTATAGTCCCATGCTAAGAGCTTGCCATTCTGGGTGGTTTGCTGGGTTGTGGGTATTGTTGGCTGCTAGTGATCGGGGTTCTCTCTTGGCTGGGTAGCCAGCTGTAGCAAGGGTTATCTTTATGATGTCGTTGACCTCATTGTGTTTTGCATGCCAGCCCTTAGTTTTAGAACAGTTAAGACCATATAGACCATTTTGGTTGGTTTGCGCATCGCCGCAAATATACGTATATTCCTTGTGAATTGGAGCAGCGAGGCGGAGAGCCACTTCAATACAAAGGGTCGTAGGGTCGAGGTGTGTTCCCATTGCCGAAATGGGAACTGTTTGGAGGAAGTCCCCAGAGTGATGTGTACTCAGAGTTTGGAGACAGGCAGTCTCCCTATTTGATGTTACAGCCCTAAGCATGTTAGGAATCACCTTTTCAGCGATGGGGCCATCCCAACTTGACTGTTTGTAGGCCAGTGCTGCACTAGGTTTTGGTGCTGGAGCAGCAAGTCTCCCATTCAGTGATGGCACTGGCATAGCTAGGGTTCTGAGTCACTGAGATTGTCCAGAAGAACTTGTTTTATTAACTCGTTTGATGCAATGTAAGAGGATAGGGAAGCTGGTAGGGCAATCTGAGAGGATCTGCATACTCCGAGCCCCCCAAGCCTGACTGGAAGTGAAGCTTGTAACCACTGTCCATCTTCGAGGGAGATTCTATACACTCTCTGTCATGGTTTCTTGGTTTCAGATTACTGCTAACTAGAACTCCTAAATCCTTTTCACAATCCGTAATATTAAAATCTACATTATTTAGTTTATATGTGGCATGGTTATTTTCCTGTCCAATATTTAGAACTTTTCATTTATCTATATTAAACTACACCTGCCACTTCTCCGACCACTGCATGTCTATTCAAATCATCCTGGAGTGCTCTAAAGTCCTCAATAAAATGAACTGGACGGCCTATTTTGGTGTCATCAGCAAATTTGCTTATGTCGCTATTTATTCCCTCATCTATGTCGTTTATGTAAATTGTGAACAACAACGGGCGCAACACTGACCCCTGTGTAACACCGCTCGTGATGTGCCCCCATTCTGATTTCTCCCCATTTATGCAAACTCTCTGCTGCCTATTTGTCAACAATCCCTCTACCCAGGAAAAAATTTCTCCTATTCCGACCCCTTACGACACGCATGACTTACGGAGGAAGAACTAGTAAGAAAACAGAAGAAAGACCAGAGGATGTGTATATGCCTGTACATGCATGCATTGTGTGACCTAAATGTAAGTAGATGTAGCAAGAAGTACCTGAAATCTTGCATGTTTATGAGACAGAAAAAAGATATATATAATATATATAATATATATATATATATATATATATATATATATATATATATATATATATATATATATATATATAATAAATAAATATATATATATATATATATATATATATATATATATATATATATATATATATATATATATATATATATATATATATATATATATATATATATAATGTCGTGCCGAATATGTAAAACTGGTCAATTAGCAAGAACTCATTTCATTAATGTTGATGTAAAAATTTTTAATTTTGCACCAAAAGGAACTTAGAAAAATTACCTAACCTTATTATAACAAGAGCAATTTATTTTAGCCTAACCCAACTAAATATATTTTAGAGTTGTTTACAATAATTTAATACTAAACAAACACAGTGAAATATATTTTTTTCGTTAGGTTCAGAATGATTTTGGCGAAATTATTGCATACACAAATTTTCACTTGTCCTATATGGCAAGATGAGCGTTGCTATTTAAGCCATGATCGCAAGTTCTGCCTATTCGGCACGACATTTTATATATATATATATATATATATATATATATATATATATATATATATATATATATATATATATATGGCAACTATAAATTAAAATGTTAGAAAGTAGATTTCAATAATGGTAGAGCATTGCCCTCTGATTACATATGGGTTTTTACATTATAGACGTGCGCGTATTCCAAAAATATATCTAGAATCACTGATGCATAACAAGTCTGTTCCAACTTCCTGCACTTGTTTTGACAGCAGGTGTTTCAGGAGTCTGTTTGGTCGCATTTCCAGAGCATATAAAACAGGTCTCCCTGCTACAGGAGCCACCATTATTCAAACATACTTCCTCTTCGTTGGGTGATAAACAGTAGGCTCATCTGCAGCTGCTGACAGAGAGAAGTCCCGTCTCAGAAGCAACATTATCAAGTAAACAATATCACCATGAAGCCGATGTATCTGCTGGTGCTGCTCTATGTCTACTTGGTGAAGGTGGAGAGCGCCGTGACTGACCAACCCCCGCTAGACGAGACTGCAGGAACAGACGAAGGCAGTGGAAACTACGAACAACTTGGTGAGGTATGTCGCAGGTCTTTATCCTTATGGTCTTGCTTTATTTTATCCCATTTCTTTTGAACTGAGCACCAACATATCGCAGAGATATAACACGTAACTAGTTGACAAAGCCAGAATAAGACTTAAGATACACGTGCAAATTACTTTCAAATCTTAATAGAAATATTACTGCTCAGTCATGAATGTTAGTGAAAAAGTTATATGTCACTGATTTGCAAGTACCCGTTTAATTCAGACATATTTGATTGCGGGGTCTTAGTACTGAACCTATAAATGGTTTGGGAACCTCAGAATCTACACTTCTACAAGATCCTATGTCTATCAGTAGACTGGTAGACAGCAGAAAAAGGTACTGTACTACCGTCCTGCCATCTGAATGTAAAATAGACTCTCAGGACTGCTAGGTCATTATTTCAATTTCAAGAACTTTTATGATGGCAGATAAATCTCATAAACATACATACCAGCTCAAATCAAAGCCCACATAATTTACTGTATACTAACATTAGTCTTATTTTTCTAAATATTTATCATGTTAAAATTGCAAAAGAAAGACTAATATTCAAACGGAACGTCATAAAGTCTTACATCTACATTATATTTTTTTGTACAATTCTCTAGCTGTTTACTATATTTTTTTTTCAACGTAAACACCGGGAAAAAATCAGTATAATTCAAATATTTAATTATAGTATATTGTTTTAAATACTGTGTTCTAACATATCCTCTGGTAGAGGAGAATAGCAGGAGTGGGTTTAATACAAAAGGTTTACTGGTTTCTGTGATGTAACATCGAGACTAGCTTTCCCAGAAAAATTATTGTCTTCATCCGCGCCGGGTCGCCATCTGGAGAAGACCCGGGCCGGAAGTACCGGGGAACCAACATCAATCAATCAATCTTCATCCGTAGCTCATTTAGTGTAGTAGCGACCAGTAGACGCCTCAACTCAAGGGGAGAATCCTACCTAGTTTTGGAGAGTTATGAGTCACATTTTTATGGTGTTTGTGTTGGGCCTCTTGATGATGCTGAACTACAGGTCCTGTGCCTCTTCAGGGTGTTGAGCTACAGCTTCTGAGCCAGCTGTTTCTCTTGGCATCCTAACTTCCTCTCTCTATCTCTTTTCTTGTTATACGTCGTTTAAATTTAAATTATCCTAAAGCCATATTTACATAGTTTTTCAGTGTATAGTTTTTTAAACGTCAGCTCTGATTTGCTATATAATTTAAATTATGGTTAACATACTGGCTAAGAGGCAAGGAAAAGATGTGTGAACTGATGTATATATTGTAAACACACACACACACACGAACGCACACACAACAATGAATAGGCGGGGCCAGGAGCTATGAGTCGACCCCTGCAACCACAATTGAGTACACACACACACACGTGAAGCAGTACCGTTAAATAGTGCTCCCATGATTTAGCGTTCTAGCGGCTGTCCTAAGATATTATTAGCGATCATCGTACAGGAGTGAATCAGTGAACATACCTACAAGAGTGTAACAGCTTTGTAGAGTGTGAATAATGTGATAAGATCAAGAATTTTACAATTTAAATTTGAATGGGGTGATTTTCACTGGAACCTGCGTGAGGGAGGGTAACAATCAGCTGATCAGGCTGCTGGCACAAGTGTTGACACTCAATATCGAAATAAACATAGTTATTGGGTCAAGGTCGTGATCTTAAGTATTAATAAATACAGATATTGGTCGGTTATAGCAGCAGTGTAGCGATAACGTCATAAACGAGTGATTAAGTAAATACTGAAAGAAAGAAAAAATTAGTCAATCCCCAGCTGCTGGTGTTGTGAATGCAGTTAATATCATCAGATTTGTTATGACCATAATACTCCAATAAAGAAAAAAGAGTGAATATCAAGTATTAAAAAATAGAATAAAAAATTGAATGGATGATAAAGTTAGTGAGAAAGTTACAAAGTGAAGCGTTATAGAAGCCACCAACAGGAGCCTCCATTGTTGTGCAGAGGACATCACTTGCCTATGTGTGGTTAATTTTGGTTAGTGTCTAAAGTCTCAGTGTCTCGCCCTGCTGGTTGTATGTTATACCATCACTCCCTAACTTTCACTGCCTGGAGATAGATAGTAATCTATCTAAAAATCTTCAGAAGAGTTGTGAAGTCTAGTGATCCCCCCCCCCCCCCGTCTTTCTGACAGCGACAAGCTAGTAAACGAGTGCGCACATACAAACACACGTGTTCACCAGTAATTATTATAATAGTAAATATTAGTATACATTAAGAAGGAAGTGAGTGAGCCTAGTGTGCAAAGATCCGGGTCGGGAGAGTACAACAATAGTGTGTTAACGTGACCCCTCCCCCTCTTTCTCAAAGAACGACAATCTAGTAAACACAAACACAAACACGTGTACAGAGTAAATAAGAACATAAGAACATAAGAAAGGAGGAACACTGCAGGAGGCCTGTTGGCCCATACTAGGCAGGTCCTTTACAATTCATCCCACTAACAAAACATTTGCCCAACCCAATTTTCAATGCCACCCAAGAAATAAGCTCTGATGTGAAAGTCCCACTCCAACCTAAATTTGAAACTACCCAAAGTCCCAGCCTCAATAACCCAACTAGGTAGACTGTTCCACTCATCAACTACCCTATTTCCAAACCAATACTTTCCTATGTCCTTTCTAAATCTAAACTTATCTAATTTAAATCCATTACTGCGGGTTCTCTCTTGGAGAGACATCGAGTACAGAAAAGCTGATAGAAGCAGAAGAGACTTGAAGTTAGTTAGTTTAATATGTTTATTATGCACCCCATACCCATCCAGTGGGCGGTAGTCAAAAGATTACAGAGGTACATAATGGGTCCAGGGACTGGACCTCAAAGTTTTGATAGCTGAGCAAGTTACAGAGGTAATGAATTCACAATTTACAAAGGTAATGAACTCACAATTTACAAAGGTAATGAACTCCAGGTAGGTCTAGTCACAATCATGACAAGTTACAAAGGTATTTACAGATTACAGAGGTACACAATGGGTCGAGGGACCGGGCTCCAAAGTTTTGATGGCTCAACTAGGTACAAGGTAATGAACTCACAAGTTACAAAGGTAATGAACTCACAAGTTACAAAGGTAATGAATACTGTAAGAATGGTTACTTACGTGTATACATGGCTGCAATCATGAACAAATTTTAGAGTAATGAGCAATTCACACTTCCACACCCGGTCACAACTGTAGTGAGTTATTGGTGCAAATGTTGATTGCTGAGTCTCTCTCTCTCTCACACACACACACACACACATACAAATTCATATACACACACACACATAATCACACACACACACACACACACATACACAAACTCATACACACACACGCACACACACTCATACACACACACACACACTCATACACACACACACACTCATACTCACACACACACAACTCACACACACACACACTTGAAGACGATGTAATCAGTTCATCACCCTTGAAGTTTTAAGGTGGTCAGTCCCTCAGTCTGGAGAAGAGTATTGTTCCATAGTCTGAAACAATATGGAGTTGATACGATACGATAGGACTCACAGGTAAGGACCCACGAGGGGCGAGGGGCAAGTGGGGACAGTGCGAAGAATAGACGGTGAGAGGAATGTCTTGAGTTGAAGAGAGGAGTCAGGACTAGGCCCAACTGCTAAGCCTGGATAAACAATAACGAAGACGACATAAAAGACAACAGGGACTCTGTGGGTGCTGACTGCAACTGACTGGAAGCACTTCAACTTGCAATGACTGGATATGTTTCAGGGACACGTTGTTGCAAAGGCGACGCAAAACGCACATCGCAAGCACTTCAGCCCTAAAAACGCACAAAGACACAGCTATACGGCAATGGCACTTTTAAGTTATTTGAATTTTTAAGCAAAAGTCAGATAATTTATGTGTATTGTGGTGGAGGTGCCGGATCATTCAATGATTGAAAAAGATTTACATCATTGTAAGGACGTCTGAGAGTATCAGCTAAGTATGTAGTCCAGTAGTCATGATATGTTTCAAGTCTGTCAAGTTGTTTGTCACTAAGTGTCTTCCAGTATACGTTCAAAGCTGGTGTGTTTGTCGTGAGGTGGAGAGATTCACTGGTGGCAAATATGGAGTTGAAGTGATAGGATGGAGCCTTATATAGCGCCAGGAGGTGAGACGTAGGTCACTAGTAGAGGTAAGAACGTAGACGTTGGGAGGTCAGGTCCCTCTCAAATCCAGCCATTCTCACTAGTAGAGGTTGTCCAAGTAGATTTCAGGTCTGTACCAAGATACCCAAGGCAATTGTACCTCTAGTGCTTGGACGCGCACATATCTGTGTCCCTACCTACACATTACCCACGCCACGCCCTTGTGCGTGGAATCCGTACCCTGCTGCACGCCATGCGCACCAAACACGCTTCATGTATCTACAACTAGCATACGTCATGATCACCAGGACCAACACCTGGTTATCCCTTTCCAGGGGAACCAAACTTTGGACCGTCCCCCCTTCCAGAATGCCATACATACCAGTCTCCACACATACTTGGATCGTGCATTCACATGGTTTTCCATAATCATGTGGTAAGAACTTACCCTAATAATGTGCACAGACACAATTCATTTGTATTTCCTCCTTAGAGAGACAGAGACAGCATACCTCAAGGTACATGATACAATCAATCAATCACATAAGCGACTCTCTGTTATATAACAATTCATGAAAACACACCTGATTAAAAGAGAGCACTATTGTACGCTCACAACCGGGTTTATGTGTTGATGCAAACTCAACACCATACATGAAATGTTCCCAGCCACCAAGATACACACCTCCCTCACACACCTTACACCACACCTTTACTTATCAAAAGCATCACTCACGCCCATGCATACCTCAAGAAGCCAGCTTCATAATACCCATTAAGATTGCAACACCCATAAGTCCCTGACGCGGAAGCTACGATGTCCCTCTGTTCCCAGTGATGTCCTTAT